AAGTTGTTGAGTTGAATAAAAGCTATAATAAATAACGTTGCTGAGAGAGGAGATCTCTGTGGGATGCCGTTATGAAGGGGCAAATTTACGAATTGAAAGAAATGCCTTTATAAAATTATACATTTTGTTTCCAATGTCCAATTTTTGTAGTTCTTGTAGTACTGTATGCTTCTATCAAAGCTTTTTCGAAGTCTGGGCTGAGGACGAATAAGTGGATTAAAGTGAACTGATTGGGGGCTGGGTTAAAGCGAACTGATTGGGGCTTATTAAATACTTTTGTTTAGCATACCACATTATCCTCTTTGAAATGATTTTTTCCAGAACTTTCGCCATACAAGGAATCAAAGAAATTGATCTGAAGTCAGTGATTTGATTTGTTAGGTTTAGGGAGAGGGATAATAACAGCTTTTTTCCACTCCTGCGGCAGTATGCCTTGTTCCAATATGTTATTGTATAAAGTTATCATGACTTTTAAGGAGTGTGGGAGATTTTTTAATAGGGGGTAAGAAATTTTGTCTGATCCGGGTGTTTTTCCGGACATTTTGCTGATAGCAAAATCAAATTCTTCAATTGTAATGGGAGATTCTATCAACGTGGCTTTAAAACACGGTGATGAGTTGCAGTAATTTTGTGAAATTACTTCACTTGAAAGAGTAATAAAATTAGAGTGAAAGTTTGAATTTTTGGAATTGCTAACGGTGATTTTATAAGGTCGATTTTGTTTTGATAGTATCCACCTGAAAGGGCTTTTATGTCACTCCATACTTTTCTTTGGGCTTGAAGTGGGTTTTATACTAGCTGTTAATTTTTCTAAAGTTTTTTTTGCGGATTTAAATTCTCTTATGAAATTGCTTTTTTATATTTAATTAAATTTTCTGTTGTTCTATTTTGTTTAAATGTAGTCCAAAGTGATTGCTTTGTGCTCCTTAGAGCGGTTAATAGCTTGGACCAATACGGGAGTTGGTGGTAAATTTTTTTTTTTTGTTTGAGGAATGGCTAAGTAAGCAGTGGAGCGTATAATTGGTTTTATATTCGACGCTTCTGCATTTATATTCTTTGACGTTAGTCTAGTGTTTGTAATTTTGTTAATCAGGCTGCAGTATTTAAGCCCATCGGCTTTTTCTATAAGAAATTTTGATCGCGGTTTAATCGTATATTGCATCGGCGTAACGAAAGAAGTTATGAGCGGAAAATGGTCGCTATTGTGGACATCTTCTAACGTGTAAGAAGGGAGATTAATGGCTATGGATGCTGAACAAAGGGCAATGTCTCCATGAGTGAACGATTTGTGTGTAGAGAAGTAGGTTGGTTATCGATCGTTAAGAACTACGAGATTTCTTGCTAGTATAACGTCTTCTATTATTTGACCTCTTACGTAAGAGGAAGTGACGTTTGTGATATTTATAAAATCACCTGCATTAAACTTTTGATGCGGAGGGATACATATGTATAGCATGAGATTATAAAAAATTTGAAACCTATGTTAATTTCTCTCGCAATTACGGAGGTGTTTGATAATATTGGGATAATTTTATGTTTGATTTGTTTTTAATAAATAAGGTAATACCTTGCTTAGATAATTTATTTTGTGGTAAATTATGAAAATGGCCGATGTATTTGTGAGGTATACGCCGTTTTGTTTATAGGGAGGTTGTTGAAAATACCTTTCATATTCCACTGAAGAACTCTCATGATCTATTCTGTGGTGGGGTTTTTGGTAGGTAACGGAATGATAAAAAAAAATCCTATGTTCTTCTGTAGATAATGTAGTTCTGAAGATCTTGTCAAAATTGCAAGTGAATCGGTTGCAAATTGTTTGAGTTATGTTTCCGGCCAAGTTGAAAAGAACAGTTTTGAGATAAACGCGTTTAAAGTTTTGAGTGGGCTAACTGCCGAACGAACGGCCTTCGACTAGATAATGAAAATGGGACATTTACAATTTTTTCCCTGTCATAATCTTTCGGGACAAAATTTATGAGACTATAACCATTTATTACGGTTTGAATTGTTATTATTTTTTTTTATTTCTCTGAATTTTGGACACAATTTATTTGAGGCAGCGTGTTCAGCAGAACAATTTACATAGAAAGTGCGAGTACAGGGTGAGGGGTTGTGTATTGGTAATGCACATCTGTCGCAGATAGGGATCTTATTGCAGCGTTTTTTTGTATGGCCAATTAGTTGGTTGTTTTTGCATCTAATTGGGTTTGAATAGTAGAGTCTTACCTTGGTTGTATACCATGATACATCAATTATTTCGGGCAAGTAGTAGCGATCGAAGGTTAAAAAAACCACGCCACTTAGGGTGGGTTTACCATTTATATATTTCAGAAATTTGTAAATGTATGTAACACCCTGTTGTTTCAATTTTTCAATTATTTCATTGTCAGAGACTTGATTTAAACTCGGAGCGAGATAGTGCCTTTTGATTAGTTTAAATTTTTATGTAGTTCATTTTTACATCACACATGCATAATGAGGTGTTTTGTTGCAGTGAATTTTTTTGTTATATTGCTATTTTTTACCAGGAGTAGTAAATTGCCGTCTTTTAATTCACTAATTCTTATTATGTCAGAACTAATATGTTTTAGGGCTTTATACGCAGCGAAGCATGAAAATTCATTTAAAGGTTTACTTATTGCACTTGAACTTACCACAACATACTTGGGGCTATCTTTTTTTGTTGTTGGTAAAGTAGGAAATAATTCATGCTTCGATAATTGCTCCATCTTTTTCTTTCTTTTTGGTTGGGGACTAGTGATGGCAACGATTAATCATTTGATTAAATTAATCGTTTATTTTCATTCAATTTAAGATTTAATTGCATCGAAACACCTTTTCTAATTACTAGACTATTACTCGAGTAATTGCAAAATAATCGCAAACAGCATTTTGAAATTTAATACATTTTATGTTCATATAAGTAAACGTACCAGGGTCGAAATTGGTCGCATCAATCATTAATGACTGGAAACGGTGTACACATAGTTAAATTATAATATGTCAACGTGGTTTAATATCAACAAATGAATGTCTGGTAACACTGCATTTACTGTTAAGTCAAGCGCACTTTACGTTTAATTGTTTGAAGAGCAATGTCGCCAGTTAAAGGCGAAGTGTGGAAATTTTTTAATAAAATAAGCCACAACTTCGTTAAATGTCAACTTTGCTGCAAACATTTCTAATTTTCTTTTCTACAATCTAGGATTGCGATAACGTTGTCCCCAGTTATAAAGTTTTTACGTACTTAAATAATAGTTGCAGATGATACTATGAGTTTGACCTCTGGGATCCTCACAAAACTCTAGTGCACAAAGGAAGGAGGAAGGACAACGATTTTACATCTCCAGAAGGTGAATTGAGCTTTTATTTGAATTGTCAGGTATTAGAACTAAGTCGAAACACTATTGATACTTGGGAAGAAATGAAAACCGTTAGCCCAAAACTGTACGGACTTTTAAAAAAGTATTGTCATCTACTTGGTACYACAGTACCAGCTGAGCGGCTTTTTTCAAAAGCGGGTGCAACTGCGACCGAAAAACGCAAATGTTTGACAACAAAACGTTTATCGGAATTGCTTTTTCTTCGCACTTGGTTGAACAAAGAATAAATTTTCTTTATTTCAATGAATATATTTTCATTTATGCTAAGACAAGTGAATTTTTAATACGATATTTTAATTTTATTTCCGTTTTTGATTTTGTGTATATACCAACATAATTTGAATGTCTGAACTAAGAATATAGTCTCCTATATTTGATTGGTTTTATTTTTACGCAAAGTTGCAAAACATGGTCTTTCGAGCAAGAGGCAATTCTTTTACTTTAAGATTGCTGTACATATTTTGATAAATTTAATGTCATTGTGCTACTTAACTTCAAACATAGGCCATTTTCTCATTTGGGATATGTCTGGGATTCTGTGATAGAGCATTATAATACAAGATTCGGCGCTGAAACTTGGTGGTGGTCTTTATGAAATTTAGTATTATTTAAAAACATTTAACAAAAAATTAATCGATTAATCGATTTTTTTACTTTACTTGCAATTATTTTTTTATATCTTGCAATTATTAATTTGATTATTTAATCGATTAAAAAAATGTTCCATCCCTATTGAGAACTAGAAGATTATAGGGCGGGCCTATCATTTTCTCAAGTGGTCCCCAAGGGTGCATTTTTTTTAAATTAATCAAGAAAATTCACTAAAAAATKTCTGAGAATAGAGTGCGATAAGGAATGAGATAATAAACTATTCTGTATTCGCAGGCAATACAATTGAGAACACAACCGTTTGCGTCAAATGCCAGTCGATGACTCGTCGGGTGTTTTATTCCAGAGAAGTTTATATGGTTGCAAATAAAAGAGTTAAACGCTGGTGAACAACAAGACCAAACAATGCTTTCAATAGAAGTCCAAAGTAGCCATTCTCATGAAAAAACCTTTACACTCACTTTCATTCTAAATAAAGTCGAAAATCGTTTCACAAAGCAATTAATTTTAGTCGAAGCAAAAGAAAAAGAAGTAGAAAAAAAAGAACAAATACTTTTAAATACTTACGCAAGCAATCAAAATATTTCTTTTGTAAAACCTACCTAATAGATAAATAGTAAATAGTCATTTCTTTCCATTTACTAGATAGAAATAGTCACACGATCATAGATAAAATTAATGAATTTTTGTAAATTAAAGGATAAATAAAAAAGTTTTGTTTTCGTTTTAATGAATTTTATTCAAAACTATTCCGTGAATTTTTAAATAGAGAAAATATAGAATTTTATGCCACTAAACCTTATAGCAATACGGGAAATTCAGATGCTAAATAATATTCTTACCGAACGTATCAGAACACTAAATTTAGAAGAAAAAGTTCCAATTACTATTCAAATGTGTAAAGCCGTAAAACTTTATAATAATTCATTTCATACCACAATAAAAGCTACACCTTTAGATGTTCAAAACAACAATATTAATCATAGCGTAATTGAAAATTGGCTAGAAGAAGCAAATTTGAAGATATTTTCTAACCTTAATACAATATAGGAAAATTGCCTAGAAACAAGGAGAGAAAGTTTCATTCGAAATTACTAAAGCGTTAGACACAAAGAAGAACCAAAATTTATTGAAAGAAATCTAGAAAACGTATATATACATTAAATATTAAACGTTGTTTTAAATCTGCAAATGACAACTATGACCACGGAAACTCTAACGACAATTAACCCATTTTAAAACAAAAATGTACAATATATAACTTTATAAAAGAAGATAAAAGCAATATATACTTTTTTTGAATTCCGAATATATATAAGCTTTATTCCCATCGTTCGTTTCAATTTTAATAAATTTATACATACCATTGTTAAAAATAAAATTTCAAAAATATAAAACAATAATTACCTATCATAATTTATATTAATTCTAGCAGACCTGGTCACGCGTTGCTGTGGCTAAAGATTTTGTTATATACATCGAGGAAGAGAAAACGGGAGGACAAGGAATGAGGAATGAGGAAAAAAGTCAAGATCAATATCGACGAGGTAAGAATATTTATTAATGCACTAACACTAATCACTAATATATATATTTAGGAAATTCACCAAGCGCAAATCTTATATTCTTTTACACCCGATTACAACTTTGGAGAAAATGTTACCGTTAGCCCTTGTAAAGAAGGAATACGAGGCGAAACGAGTAATACATTCATTAATGGAGTACCTGTTGATGGTCCAGAAACAACTCCTAGCCCAAAAGAAAGACTTAGGAGAGTGTTCCATGATGAACTTAGTGGGAAGCCCCTTAAATCTAGAATCATCCACAGCATTTACAGAAGCGACTGTAGCTATGGAGACTTCGTCAAGGATCCTGAACAGTTATGCAGAAAATTTTTATTGGCCACGACTGCAGTTATTCCAACAACTCATGTAGATGTGCATTCTACAATGTCCTCCCAAACCAGCAAATCAATCGAAGATATGCTTGAAGAATCATTCACTCTTGGAAGTTCACGATCGACCTCTGGATCAATCTCGCAATCTGTTTGCAGAAAGATTCGAGGATGTACTTATACATCAACATCACCGGGCGAACGTGGCTTCCAAGTAGTGAAACTCGATGTCTTCGATTTTATAAAGATTTGCAAGAAGCCGTGCTCCTGTGGATCCGAATTATCAACTGGTAATGCGATTGCTACTTGCAGCATTGAACCAGATAAACAAGACATCCTTCGGCACCAACACATCATATTTTAAATACTTCACAGTGGCTAGAATCTAAGTTTAGGTTTTGGGATAAACAATGTTCACTAATTAAAAATTGTATTAAAATTGTAAATAACTATATCAATAATTTAAGTTTTAATGAATTGTATATGTATTTAAAAACTATAGAACCTCAAAATCTGATTTTTGATGCACCACCTTGTAATATTTATAATTATTATTATTGCATTGATTAATCAATTGATGTTTTAGAAAATATATTACATTATCAATTTTATAACGATTATGAAAGAATTGAAGAATTTTCGCAAAATTTATATAATGTTATAGATAAGTTAGTACCTAAAAAAATATTATGTTAATATTAAGTCCGCCAGATACTGGTAAAAATTTATTTTTCGATACGTTTATCCATTATTGTTTAAATTTTGGGATAGTGAAAATGGGAAATGTGTAGATAAAAGGATAATATTGTGGAACGAACCAATATTGGAAGCTTCTGCAACAGAAACTTTAAAAATGTTATTTGGAGGTGATACGGTATCAGCTAAAGTAAATTATTGTAATGATGCTGTAATAATGAGAACACCTGTAATTGTTTTATCTAATAACGATGTGTTTCCACATGATAATGCTTTTAGATTACGAACGTTTGTATATTAGTGGCGACCGTTATTCATTTAAAAAGTTTAAAGAAAAAAGCCACGCCCATTATCTTCATATTTCTTATTAACAAAATATAATATAATACAATAAAATTAAAAATATATAAATTTTTTTTGTTTTATTTAAAACTAAAAAATCGTCTGTTTTTTCTTCTTCTTCCTGTTGTATTGTAATTATTCCATTTTCATCAGCAGTTACGCCAAAAAGAGTTAGACCATCAGTATAAGCTCTATCATAATTTGCACAAAATGATACTTCCATAGGACAACTAACACTTGTTCCTTTACCAAATGCAGACGAAATATTTAATTTAATTTCAATAGAACATTCTACTTTCCAATAACGAGAAATGTTTAAATAAGTAATGGAAGTAGATGTAGGTCTCAATTGTGGTGTAGCGGCCATTCCAACGTGTAATTTTGGTTGAGCTTCATATCCAAAACCTCCTTTTATAGGATGATATTTTCCATATGATTCTATGGTTATAGCATAAATGTCATTAATATTATTAATTACAATTCGTGAAGTGACCGTTTTACTTAAACCAATATCACCAGAAATTGGTTGTTTATTTGCTGTAAAGAATTGTAGTTGACTACTGTGTGGTCGTACTTTATTTGAATGAACTTTATATTTATAGTATTTCTAGTACACGGAACAAAATGTTCCTTTCCTTTTTTTATAAAACCACTTTTTTTATATTATATTCATAATTTGATTAATTCAAAATATGTTATGAATAATGTAATCAGTGACATTATCGGGTGATTTTTCTCTATTCCATTCTAGAACAAAATATTCAGTAACTGGTTGGAACAAATAATGTATTTGATGGAATATGTTATTAATATTTATCATACATTTCTTTTACTTTTAAAGATCTTAAATCAGTAACTTACATTGGATCTGTTGATTCTGAATGACATCTACTATTGCGTCCATAAAATTCTTTATTTAACCCTTCAGCTACTAAACCTATTGGAACATATTCCGATTTTGCTGTACCACTTGAGCAATTGTAGGTAATATTTCAAACTCTGCTTCACTCAAATCAAATAAATAAATAAAAATCTACTGGTATTAATGCAAGAGAAGTAGTAGCTTGATCTATTGTCGCAGCCGTTTGAATATATTCTGTGCTGTAACCATAGCTTATCATTATTCTAGTTTTTGAAAAATTTATACTGCTATCTCTGTACGGTCTACTGGAGCGTATTCATGTGAAACCCGTAGAGAAATATTTCAGTGGTTCCTGACCTCGCCCCCGTAGTAGGGCCACGCCCGGAATCACTTTTTCGAATATCAATTTCCTGATCGATATCCATATTATTAGTACTAGTATTTAAATTAGGACGCTTCTCAATGAAGAGAGAATCTCCGCTACTACTTTAATCGCTATCACTATCTGGTCTGGGTCGTTTATTGGAACCTCTGTTATTGGCTGTGGCTGTTTTAGCAGCTTGTCCAGCACCGAAATCTCTTTTTCTCTCTTTTGGAAATTTCAGATTTTTTTTTTTTTGAAATCTTGAAAATCTCTATATCCACCTTTATCTGGTTTATCTTTAATATCAGCCCACGCTTATGAAAAATGACGTTCTCTGGCAGCATATATTAGTTGTGGAAATGTTTTTGTTTTATTTGACATATTTGAATATTGCACTCCAAAAATTTATTCAAACCCATATTTTATAGATATTCCTACTATAGTAGCAATTTCCGCAAGACTACCATTCTTTTTATAATCTTCAACAAAATTATGTATAGCTTCTCTACCCGCTTCTCGTATACCTGCTTCAGAAGTAGCTAATTTATATTCAAAATCATGAACAAGAGCATCAAAATCCACCTCATCAACTGGTGGATCTGTTTTATTTATTGCATTACCTGGTCCCAAATAATTATAACCGTCTCTCTTGACTTTAAGTTTCATACCAAATTTTTCTCAGTGTATTTTTCGCTTATATATAAAAAATTTCTTTCAGTGTAATACTTATATTTAAAGTCACATGTTAATTAACATTTCAACAAAGTAACAAACAATATTTACATAACAACATCACTAGATCACATGATTACAATTACGCGTTAGTAAAATCTATAACACCTTTTACGACGACGTCATGTTGGTGGCTTCTGATTGGCTGACGGGTTTTCCTACTCATGGCTTAGCTCGATCATGGCCTACGGCCGATAGCTGCCGAAGGCTGCGTTTACTTCACGAGGAAGAGTAGGAGGACATCAGTCATTAACCAGACCACCATTCTTTTTCACACAAATTCCATTTGTAAAAAAACATGGCTATCCTCCATTATTGATTTTCTACTACAGTTACCCTTAATACAATGAAGTTATTATGTACGAAATAAGACGAAAACGTCTGGTATAAGAATCCACAGGATTGGAATTTGAAAGGGAAGGACTTTTCTGTACTGTGATACAGTCTCAAGTCTCTAAATTTAAGATTTTAAGTTAGAGAAAATTTTTGAGACTTGAGACGATTTTGCTATTCTGTAAGTGACAGTCAAAAAATCTCTTACATCTCATAATTCAGAGATGTTTTTCAACTTAAATAAAAAAAATATGTCGATAACAAATGTTAAATTTTCTAGAACATAGTCAGAAAACATAATTATCAATAAAAATAAAAATATATGTTTCATAATATATATGAAATTTTTGTAAAAATTATTTAGTTTTTAACCTTTCCGTGTTTGAGTTGCTTACAAAATATAAAAAAAATGACAATCGATTAATATCTATGATGATCTCTATTCAGTATATTCAAAATGGCAGACAAGAGTTCTTTTTGGTTTTGTGACCCGCTAACCACCAGGTCTCAAATTTGAGGCAATATTTTGAGACTAACGCTAGAGACTATTTAGTAAATAGTAACTAGTCACATATTGAGATTTTACCTCAAAGTGTCTCAAGTAGAGACTAGAGACTGGTTACAGAATCCCGCTATTAATACGATCGATCAAAATTTTTATTGTGTTGATATTTGACAAGAGTTAATACAAAACAATTAATTTTAAAATTATTTTTTATTAAATTTCAAACAAATAGTTTTAAATCTTTAAGAATAATATTAAATATTTTTAATTATCTAAAAGTATTGAAGTATTCAATTTAAGTTAGCTCTAATTGGTATCCAATATTTTTGGTTAATCCGTATTAAGCTAACACAAATAGATTCGACGGGTTTCCTACATGTGAACATGCAACATATTGCTGCCTATGAGAAATACATGGATTTTCCAAATCTAATCCACAAATGGACATTGTTTGGCCTTGAGATTTATTTATCGTCATTGCAAAATCTAAACGAAATGGAAATGGTACGTGGCAACAGGACCACTTCACTTTTTAACTTTCCAATTAATATGGTTGCTTCATGACCATTTACGGTAATCTTTTTGATAGCCAAATGCGTACCATTGCATAATCGAAGTGGATTCAAATTACGCAGGAGAATAATAGGTAAACCACTAATTATTCGAACATTATGTGGTTGCATTCCGGGTATATCAAGTGAATTTAAAAAATAAATTGGAAAATTTACACTTTCATTTTCAATAAGAACAGTATCAATTGATTTAAAAGACATCAGATCGTCTAGTATTTGGAAGTAAATTTTGTCAACATCAACATTTTTGGCAGCCAAAATATCTCGCTCACTGAGCCAGTTATGATTCAAGTAATTACTCTCTACTTCGGAAAAATACTCTGAGTCAATTGATTATTTCCCTGAAGAATAGAGCATAAATTATCTGGCAGTTTAAAGCATTGCGTATCTGATTTCTATTATATTTCACTGTTTCCTTTTCGGAAAATATTTGAATATTTTGCAATTGCACGCGTATGCTTATGGTTAATTGAAATGTTTCAATACTTCGCCATAAGAATGATTGTTCCAAACATCCATTAATCTCATCCGCGAGAGAAGAGCGAGGTATAACTGGTAAGGTCTTTCGTAAATCACCAGACAAATGCACTAAGATAGCACCACCGAAGAATAGTTCCATGCAATTTTTTCATATATACATATATTAATTAACATTTGGAAATAGCATCATTAATCGCCGTTAAACTAAATGCAAATTGGTTTATACATTTTTGGTAATCGATTAATTATTATCAATAAAATAAATCAATAACATAAGAAGCAAGCGGAAAATAAATAGCTCGATAACCAAATTTAGTTACATATATTCGGGAGTAACTCTTATCATCAAAATACATATATCATACATTGTGATTTGATGCATAGCAAATATAATAATAATTATGTGATAATAATTATATGTATATATATTAAGTAAACAGTATTATCTTCAATATAATATGAATTTAATTTATATAGTACTTCAATCTAAGTAACATGAGGCTTGGCGGTTACGCTAACATCAAAAATTGAAAAAGTAAGAATAATTGAATATTTTATTGCAGATTGTTTTTCAATTGATAGGATACCTTACATCTCAATTTATAATAGCAATTTCATTTAATTTCAAATTCTTTGTCTATTGTTTGACATATTAGGTGACGTTAACTGTTGACTGGATTGAGTTAGTATTCAATAGATTATGCGCTATCAGAGAACGTATATTTATAGAGAAGGTCCAACAACGGACAGGCGTGTAAACTGTCAAAAGCTAACAAAATGCGATGAGTGCGTTTCACCACAGTTAGCTAAGAAGAAGAAACTTTAACAGTGGCGCGTGAACAGAGCAGAGCATTCAATGAAAATTATGCTCAGAAACATGCATTGCTATAACAGACATATGTATGTTTGCCCTTTGTATATAATCATATTAATTGATATGATTATCATTTTGCGTACTTCTATGAATATATGCATAATTTATAACATTCTAATTAAATTACGCTATTTTCAAAACAATATTTGTAGTTAATGTGCAATTAAGAGATATTTTTTAAATATTTCTTATGTTTGAGGATATATTATAATTTCTCATATGAATATGTTTGTAAATATGATATAGTACATATGTATGTACATACCTATGGAAATACACTTGTGATGATTGTGTAAAGCGGACGTGGTTTTGTACGGTCCAGTGTTT